ATTGATTCGTGGGCGTACATTGGGGGAATGAGTGAGTGTGACAGTATATACGGGCATATGGGTGTGTATGTGTACGATGTTTTTTTTATTGTGTGTGTGTTTGTGTGTGTGTGTGTGTGTGTGTGTGTGTGTGTGTGATCGTGTACGTCTGTGTGTGTATGTGTGTGCATTTTAGTGTTTGTCTGATCATAGATGTGCATGTGTGTGCGCACGGGCACAGCCATGTGTCTATGTGTCTGTCTATTTGCCTGAGAGCTCGAGATGCATTCTTGAGTTTGGATAAGTATGTAAAATACCTAAAATTTACCGTATATCTAGATATGCTATTCCACCTTTCTCCCCCTATCCCTGTTGATCATTCACAAATAATCTGTCTTAATTTCCAAGCGTATTTTTTTTTTCAGAATGAGAAATATATTCTGCATTTTGCCAATGTGAAAGATACAGTATGACCTCGGTACCTCCTTCGAGTCTGTAGTATAGCGGTTAAACACTTTGTTGTCAGCAGCAGAATAGGACGTGAGTTCAATAACCTATCTCCGTCTGTCTGTAGGGACGTTCTATCGTGTATCTCTCTACTACTACTGCTGCTGCTGCTACTGTGAAACGTTGGTGCTGCTACTGAATGTAATGTAATCTGTGTGTGCTAAGTACATTTTCGTTTGTAGATACAGTAAAGTTATAACTAGACTTGATCTGTGACAGAAACTGTCCGTAGACATGTGACCCAATTTTTCTTTTTATATGCATAATACCCGATTACACTACACCCGAGTACACAACACCCGAGTGGATCTACACAATACCCGAGTACACAGTAAAGTGCCGCCAAAAACTCGTAGCACAACTTATTGTCAAATATTTTCTCAACTATTCAGCAAAGATTCTCCAGGTTTTTCACATTGACTTGTATCATTTCCTTTAACAGATCAATATTTTGGTAAACACAGTGTTAGCTGTATTCTAGAAAATTCCTTGATAAATACTAATCATAAATCCAAGAGGGCGATTTCTACAGATTTTAAAAGGTTTAAATCAGGGGCAATATTGCTTTCAAAAGCAAGTCCGTCATTTATTTATTTTTCTATTCGAGACATTATGCTTATTGATTGAACACATTTGAGAACCTAGTGCAAAAAAAAGTGTTCACAATAAAATTAATTTTTTATAACAAGTTTTGTTGCTAAAAAAGTGTCAGTGGTGAACTGTGATGTAAGCCATATGCGTTTGCAAAATGTGTGCGAGGAGCGGGACGTGCTGTGAACAATCCCATTTTCCACGTGACGAGATTTATAGTATTTTTTGCAAATTTATAAAGGAAGGCGTTTTAATCTGTCCCCAATAGTTGAGGAAATATATGATTAAGTTAAGACAAATTGATTCAAATTGATGTGCAAAGTATGAGTGACATTGATTTGCCTGTTAAAGAGATAAGTGTAGATGAGGTGCGCCTTGAATTTTTGTCCGCACTATAAATCTGAAATCCACACCACCGGTACCGAGGTTTTACTGTATTCTTCCTCTAAAATGTAGTTTGTTTGCTGTGATCCTCACCCAAAAGCCATATATATGAAGACGATAATAATTAATAAAGGAAAAATTATCATATGTTTTGATTGTTGTTACTTTTGTTCTCCATTTTCATGTGTTCTTTTTCGGTAAAAATACATTTCAACCCCCCCCAAACCACCCTCCACCCAATTCATATAAGTTTAAAGTGTTTTCTACAAATTATGGCGTAGTGGTGACCCAAATATGACCGCACTGAGACGTGAAGATCTCGTATGTGCGTGGTAGTTCATGCAAATTCCAAATAGAGGGTTAAAGTTGACTTTTGCTTTTTTTTTTTCTTTTTTAGTTTTCTTTGAGGATATAATGATATCATAAAGTCTTGGAAGACACGAATGTCAATTTGGGACAATGCTCGTGGCCCTATGAGGAAAGACAAAAAGAAAGATGGAGGCAAACAATGCAGGCGAGACTCTCTAGCAAATATAACGTGCGTAAATTTGAGGAAAGTTTTGTTCGTATGCTATGTGATATGTGGACAGGCTGCAGCTCCTACCTAGAGTGCTGTAATTTATTGGTAGAAACTGATCAGTTCTCTTGTTTATTATTTCAAGCGAGAAGAAGGGAAAGAGCTGTTTTTGTCATCATGAATAATATTATCATAATTTATATGTCTATACACATTATATTTGTGAAAGTCCATCACTTTAGCCGCCTAAAACTTACGAACCACTTAACTTTCGAATTTGACCAAATTAATTGTGGTTCAGAATCATTTGAAAGGTGCACTGTTTCTTTGGGCAGCCTGAAGTCACTATAGTTTAATTATCAGTTTTTCATTAGTTTCGTTTAGATATAATCTTGGGGAAAGTCCGTCTTCTAAGACGCCATTCTAAACAAGTGAGGTTTCCGTTCACTAGCCGTTCGCACTGTTTCCACACCTTTAAATTCTGGAGTGTACAACCACGAAAGCGGAATAGAAAATCAATCTATATATTATATATATTTGGCAACTTGGAAACACAATATGTGTCACTTTTTTCTCAAAATGTAAAGTGTAAATATAGCAGGCCAATGACTTTCAGTTGATGTTAATGCACCGATCATTCTTTTCATCGAAAGGGGGCCCAGCTAGTCATGAATAGTTTTGCGGTGGCCCGGAAAACTAGGAGGAAGACGCACAGTCATGAACCTAGACACAGTCCGAAGACCACAAACTATCGGCTTTTTATTGAGTGTACGGTTATCAATTTTATATATAAGACCATTTAATGTTTTCTGTCGGAAAATCGCACAATAGAGAAGCTTATTTAACTTATAATAGTAACGCCTATACGATCGCTCACGTGGATTTTCTGCCCTGGCCATGCAGGTGTTAGGGGAAAGGAAAAAGCCGACAGACTGGCTGGTGAGGCCACCTTAGTTGACAATACGGTTCAACCAGATAGGGTCGAGATCCTGAAATGTCTCTCTCGCCAGCTGATTGAGGAGGAAGATAGGGAGGCAGAGGCCAGTACTGCCATGGAGAGGATGGTGCTTTTGGGAATTCAAAAAGGAAGCGGAAAATCTGGCATCCTTGCAGGAAAGAACAGAAGAACGTTCAACCAGATGTGCACTGGCACAATCAATGGAAGGACCCTCGGCAACATTTTGGAGAGAGCAACGGAGCATCAATGGAGCTGTCCGGAGAGCAGCGATGTTTCTTCCTGAAACAATGAACTTATAATGCTGTTTCTTAAGCTTTTTTTGTGTTTGAGTTAACGTTTGTACCCTCTCGACATTCATAAGACAAACAGAGACAGAAAAGTACAAATAAATGTTAATAATGACATAGTGTCGCAAAGCAGTTGATGAAAACCAAATACTGTGAGTCCATTATGGATTTCAGCACAAAAAACAAGCATTTTCTTTTCTTTTCTTTTTTTAATCGAAAACTTCGTGGATGAACGCCAGTGCAAACTATGACCAGTTCTTCTGTTTGGTCCAGCTTGACACCCTACCCATAATGTCAAAGAGCCACATACATATGCTATGGTTCTCCTTTTTTCCAGTCCAAAAGCAAATCACAGACATTCTTTTTTTTTCTTGTTTTGTTTTGTATTTATTTGTTTGTGTGTGTGTGTTTATGTATGTGTGTGTGGGGGGTTCTTTGTTCGTTGTTGTTGTTCTGTTTTGTTTTTGTTTGCTTGTTCGTTTGTTTTGTTGGGGGGGGGGGGGTGTGTGTGCAAGGCCAAATTAAAATATCTAATTTCAAAAGGCTGTCATGCTTCAGCACAATGACACTGCAGCACAAAAAATATGATAGAAGATGCGTCCACGAAAGTTGTTTATACTTTTATCACACCAGAACGATAAATTAGCACATTACCCAGCGCCAACGTTTACGCTCCCAGGGTATTAATAATGTAATTTTTTCTACGGATGGGGCAGCTAGACTTGAAAACTTCTGACCTTTTTTATTGAAGCTCCATTCGACCACGAAAGAGTGCTGGCTGCTCAGACCCTGTGGAAAATGAACGTGTTTATGTTGGGCTCTAAGGCTCCTTTACAAACCACAATAACGTTCTCTTGTGTATGACAAATTATATGTATATTTTGCGCCAAGACTGTTTGCTGCTATCAGGTAGATGGTGTAAACAA